CTAACCGTGAATTTACATTATAATTGATATTTTAATAATTGAAATTCACCTTTCGTGTTAAAAGTAAATATTGAGATCAATTTTAACCTATGTAGTTGTCAAAAAAAAAGTTATTTAGTATTATTAATATATTTATTTATGTTTTTCTGAAACAGTCATCGGAATCAGCATTTTAATTTAACGTATAACTTTTATGTAAAAAAACTAAAACAAGAAAAAGCTAAATTATTAATTAACTAATATTTGTTTGTTATTGGTACCAATGTGCTGCATAGGTTATAGAGATTTCCTAAACATCATAATAATAATAATTTGTTTACGGTTTCGATACTAAGATTACGTGAACATGATTCTCGTTAAAAGTATAACGTTTAAAACCCGGCAAAACGTTTGAATAAATAATTATTAAACAGAGCAAATAAAAAGTGCAGCGTTACCGTTATTCTCCTAGCCTTGTATAGCTATAGGTTTACTACTATTATTTTTAATTTTGGCGTGAAAGTTGATGCATTTGTAAAACGGTTCTAAACGGAGATCTATTTTCAAAGATATTAAACTAGAAATTGGCTGTCCTTATAATTTTAACAATTTAGTTATGGTCATAGAATTATCCTTAATCACGAAGAATCAGATTTTGTGTGACGGTATTTATGTATGTACATATATTGGATGCGTAACATATTCACTCATCCGGAGTTGATTTTGGTCGTTGGTTGCTGCGGACACTGACCTGGAGTTTCTAATTTTGAATATGTTTTTCAATCTTGTATAGCCGGTTAGGCAGAACTATATGGTAATTCTGTATTTTGTATTCATACTGCGTGCCACATTAAAAAGGTTTAATAAAGGATTACAGTAAAACTAAACATCAAAACGGACGGGAAGGCTGTGTCCCTATTTTGTTTTTTTTTTACGTTGCATCTACATCATTTTGTAATACGCGTAATGGAAAAGCTACGAAGGATCTAGGAAGCGAATGAAATAAAAAAAGAACACGATATAGTTCGAACTATATCAAAGCCGTGTCAAACGTGTACTGTATATACTTGTGAACATTGTAATATTATACGTCAACAATCAGCTATAAAATAATATACCACTGCGATTAAAATGCGGCATAATGCTCGATAATATGTTTTCTGATCTATTCAATTAGCGGAGTTTACTGATATCAATAATAACCTTTCCGATTTTATTGGTTTTAGAGTACATATCGGCTAGGAAAAAAATAGGTTTTGGTATCGATTTCGGTTAAAATTGGTTTTATAATAATATTATTAACCTATAGGTGGGTAATTCAAATAAGGGAATCTATCCCGATAGATATAAGTCCATCATCATAAAATCTACATAATAAGGAGTGAAAATTATTTATCATTTGCCTAAGCATACATATATTGGGGAGGACAAAGGCGGATCGTAAATATATAAATATATACATTACACCTACTTAAAGTAAAAATATAAAATTTAGAAATTTATTAGAATACAAATATCTAGTTAGGTTTTTACTGTTATTGAAATCTCACCGAACAATAGAGTATTACATTTTAAACCATATAATTGATCAAAAGAAAATAATGTAATTTTTATGTTAAATAACACAACAAAGCATACTATGTATATAGTAATTCATAATTTTAATTGAAAAAATATTTTTTATTTACTTGTTAGTTAATTAGTTAACTTTTACTTAAAATATCGGATTCGGATTTAGTTGCTTCATACGAGTAAATGTTTTTCTGGACTTTGATTAAGATTTCGGTTCAAAACTGGTCTTTTTCAGTTGGGTTCTAGTCCTTGATTTAAGCAATACCCGAAACATGGTATACTGAATCTCTATCTATGGTCGTATTCATATTAAAATTGCCATTTGTATAGTGAAACTAAAACGAAGCAAAATAATATTTTTGATGAATATTCTTGAATAAATTAATTTTCTATATATTTTTATTTATAGGTATGATAATCACGCTGGGTTATATTATTTAAAGAGACATAATTTTAAAAAAAAACCGTTTTCAAACAATTGATTTTGAGTGACAATAATTTTCGGCTGTATTACTTGTTATTTTATTAAACGTATCTACATGTATTTGTAATCATTAGTCGAAGATTTTTAGATCAAGATTACTGTAATAATCATAATATAGTCGATCGACAGTTATTAATCATAAAAATCAAAAAATGTATTCACTAATATGATTAGATCAATTTTCTGTTAAAAAATATTTCTTTCGCTATTTGGTTTGATTAACGCTGTTTTTACAAATTACGTTCTAAATACTGTATTGTGTAATGATATATTTTATGAATGATTTTAATCCATATTCAGAACGTTTGCAGGTTTCTTGCAAGGTCTAAAATCGGTATTAACTTTGTTATGACCTTTGACCATTGACCACTTTTAGTTTTACGTCCGACTGCAGTGTAGATCTATACGTCTGTTAATAGTATGTTAACGTTATACTTCGACTGTTTATTATTTAACTTCGTGCCGGGTGATGCGATACGGAAACACAATACGACCATTGGTCGTTCAGAATATTATTCGAACGCAGCGACAGACTTTTTGGTTAATTTCTTTCTTCTTTTCGCATTCCATCGTTCGGTCGACATTATTCGGCTTACGTAGAATCCTACCGTCCTCGGATCGTTCTTGACACGTATCGCATCGATAGATCGGATCATTCTTGATCTCATAGACGGCCAACGGATCTGCACACGCAGTACCTGCCTCCGAGTACCGGAAACAAATCCATTCGACATCGATCGTGTTTACGGTCTCGATTTTCGCGCGCACGACCGATTGACCTGTTGCGCCGTCCGGCCCAGCGTCTGACGTACATGTCCAGCCCCACTCATTTTAATTTTTCAATTTTTTCCAACACTAATATTTAGTGCTCCATTCCTGCCGATTCCTGCCGATTCCTACCACCACTTCCGGGACACGTGTCCCCGGCTAGATTAGATTTTTGATTTTTGCGTGGGGTGGAAGTCGAGCAGGAATTCTGGAAGTGGTGGCAGGAATCGGCAGAAACGGAGCACTAAATATTGGCGCCGGAAAAAGTTGAAAACCGAAAATGGGTAGGATTGGGGACATGTACGTCAGCGTCCGACCATTCCGGTTCGTTCGCACGCGCTGTATTCCGATATGGTTCGTGTTCGGTGACGTACTTAGAGTTTTGACGCCACGGGTAAAGTTTTATTGCCATCCCTGAACATACATGTTTTATATGATTTTTCAAGAACGATAGTATATTATTATTATTAAACATTATTTCGTATTTATCGTCTACGGATTTCACGCGGTAAACTATTGACCATATTTTGACGGAAATATAAATAGCAGCGTGGTCACTATGCAAAATCTTAAAATATCAACATTTTTTTACTGACAAACAAAAATGGATGATGGATTATGGTTACAAAAAAAAATTTGACGCCTGGAGCGATGGTACCCCCTCGCTCCCAATAAATAAGTTTCTGGATGAGTTTGTTCGTACGCGTCACGCGCGGTACCGTGTTCCTGCGCGCGGATAATGGGATCCCGAAGGGTCGAACGGTCGTCATTATATCGCCCATAATATCGTTAGACGCTGCTATAAAAAGGAACCGCATACACGGGACGATGTGATGGGCACATTGCCCCTTCGGCCCCACTTTCCGGGCACATTCGTTGGCGCCGTGATCGTACAAATCGTTTTAACTCGATTCCGAAACTCGCCGTCCGACACATGTTCGTTTTATCGTTTAACGATCGAACTGATCCGATCAATAAGCACTACGGCGTACGTTCAGTATGCGTTAATATATTGTTAGGTATTCGAATGAAATACCTTTGGATGTACGTTACACGATCCCATAGTACTTAGATCCAAAGGTGAGGCAAGTCAATTAAAACTGCCTGAAATTGAGTTGAATATAGATATCACAAGACCGTTAAGTTCACAAATCATAAATTTAACTAACTAATATTAAAGTTAGCATTGAAAAAAATATTAATTAAACTTGGTTTAAAAAAAGTTAATTACTTTTTAATTGGAACACAGAAAACGGTTATATTATTTTTAATTTCTTAAATTACAATAAACTAAATATCAATTTTAATTTATATGATAGTTAAATATATAAAATGAAAATATTTACCTTTAACAAACATTTTATTTTTTGAACGATTTATTATTAAATATTGAAAACATTTATTATATGTGAACAAAAATATTATATAAAAATTATTATCGTCCATTTTTTCATTAATTTCACTCCTGCACTAAAAAACCTTTTATAAAAAGTTATTTTTAAATTTTTTTCTTTGATACCTTGAATCTGATTGGTGGCCATATTATAATTGCCCATAAAATCTAACATCTATATATAATGTTATATTATCATAAAAAATAACCAATATGTTTAAAGTATTTCAGTATAGGATTATTTAAAAAAAAAATGTCTGCTTTATTAATTATTTTAAAATCGACTGAAAAAAGCTAAATTATTTCAACAGTCAATTAAACAAGTTTTATAAATTTAACTTTTACCTTTTAACTAGTTAATTCTTATCTTTACTTAAACTTAGAGGGTATATCATTCCCACGAGTGCTAAATACAGTAAATAGTAGAGTTTTATTTGGGAGTATTTAACGCAGAGTTGAGATCGATTTTCAGTACTAAAGCTTTGCGGGAAGAATACGTTACCTAAGATATTAATAAAGTTTTATCAGTTCGAAGTACACTTAGTTTTTATGTAGATGTAATTAGTACAATTAAATCATTAAAAATGTATTTTATTTTTTATTAATATACATAAAATAATTAATTATGTCATCTACCAACATTCGTGGACATTCAAATTTTTTTTTGCCATACGTTAATTTAATATTGATAATCGTGTATGGAATGCGTACCGATTTTGTGTGTACATGGCGCGTTTTGCCGTAATCTCCCGTACGCTATTGTGTACGGGACATATACGCGTTTTTCGGAATCCAGATGATTACCACAACCACACGAACGGAACGCCTATGTGCACAAGGATCGCACGATGAGCGCTGGTCGTCACACACGCACGCACACGTTTCTCACGGTGAAAAATGACAGCATTGTTTAATGCACCACGAGATAGAGGAACGGAGCGACAGTCGGGGAGGGTGATCCTTTATTTAATTACATATTTTTCTCATTTTTTATTTTTTTTTTTATTTAACTTTTTTTAATTCAATCCTAGGACGATATCGAGTGAGCGAGAGCCGCATCCTTTTTTTCGCCTTCCGTGGGTGGCCCCGGAGGTGAGACTGTAAACGAAAACCCTAATGCTGCTGCTGCTGCTGCTGCTGTTACGGCTCTCCGCTTTGGATAGAAATAATAGCCATTAGCCCGGGCGAGGATAAACATACATTGCGGTCGTCGTGATCTGACTGATGGTGTGTGTGCTGCGTGCGGGTGGGTGGTAGTGGACGAGGATTTACGTGCGCAGTAAGTATAGACATATCCGCATGTACATCATTTATATATAATACAAAACGACCGCGCACAGGTATTTCCTCTATAATTTGTGCTCTCCATGGCGCGTTTAATCTCTATAGGTTCTCGGTGGTGGAGTGATTCAGGATTATGCGGTGTTTGTGTGTGTATGCATGTATACGTTTGTGCTATGCGTGTGTGTGTGTGTGTGTGTGTGTGAGAGAGTGTGTATTAGAGGCATTTACAAGGAGTGGTGCGGGGGTTAAATTTTTCTCGTTGCCTCTTTTTCCACTTTCAAAATTCCATTTTACTTTCATCACAGCCAACGCTGTATTGCAAAATATTTCTGCTAAACAATGTTCACGAAAAGAAGACCACTGAAAAAAACGTGGCAATATCTCCAGGCTCACGGCATAAATATTTTTTCCACAGGGTCGCGTGCGATCAGTCACCTATCCCCGTTCGTGTTAAGTTTGAACGTCGTTTATTAGTCAGTTATTCTGTTTTACACTACAAACGCGAATAAATAAAACTTATAAGAACAGCGAATGTATTATTACACCTGTAATTATATTATTCAACTCAAAATTAACAGATAGTGTTGACGTTGACTGAAATAAGAAAAATCTAAATCATTAGCCAACTATCTTACCCGTTGTACTAATTTATCAATGTTACTATGTTGATAATCGGTGTATATTTAATATCAAAATGAATTTCCTTACTAAATTTTTGAGAAAAAAATGCTTGTTAAAAGAATAATGATATTTATTACAATTTTATTTATTTTTATCTATTGCATTTTTAAACAGTAAAAAAACGATAATGTCCGTGTGTTTCAGACTTCAGAATTTCATTTCTGTTTCTGCTGCTCGTCAACCAAACCAACAATAATAGCGTCGTGTTATGAATACTGTAATGAGTGTGAAGTGTTTATGTGTGTTCGATGTTCTTCCGATCAATATGGCAAAATGTCACTAACGCAAGTACAACACCATGGTATTATTCAATGTTTACATTATATGGAAAACAGCTTTTTCCCGAAGTTAGTTTAATTTATTTTGTTTGTAACTAATTATGTAATAACTATATAGAAATGTTTAATATTTTTGTTTTGATAATTATTAATTAATGTTATCACAAATTTATGACATAAAAAACTATGTGACATAAACATAACTGTAGTAACAATATGATTATCTTATATTTTACAATGTGAGTCAATTTGGTATCATTTATCAAAATAAATTCATATACTTGTTATTTTACACTATAAAACCACCACTGGCGCACCTAGACCTCGCCATATTTTTGCACGATAGGTTAATTGATATATTTTGCACTTGCTGTTTGTAGCAATTTAATTTTTTTTTTTACTCTATTGTTTTTGGACAATTATCGATTTTTGTTGTAGTCGCTCAGACGCAATGTGTACGAATAGACGTACGTTGACGTTAATTCCGCCGGAATATGTCAGTTATGAAATCATAATATACAAACACGCAACGATATCATATTTTATAATTAAAACAAGAAACTAGTTTTTATTGATATGTCTACATAAGCAAGGGTAAATAATATGATAATTATGGTGTTTCGGTTTCCACTAATATATTTACAGGCATAAAATAAAAAGTAGATACCTAATATATAATAAAAAATATGTAGCTACTGTTACGAATGTTTTTCTACTAAACTATGATTTAAATTTTCTTTTTTCTTCTATTTTCTCCCTCAATCTCCACCTCATAGCTTTAAATTTAGAATTTGTATCACCAGGATAATAAAAATAATACTATAGTAGTTGAAATATTATAATATAAACCGTTGTACCTATACTGGCTCAATAAATATGTCGTGGAACGAAAGGTTTTATTACAATTATGTTGTATATCGTAATAACTCGACAAACTGTACGTATTTATCAGTAGAAAATATAGAATCGAGTATTCGGATTCCCCAAATGCTGAGCTAGAAATAAGGGTTTGAATTTACCAACGAATTTGAATTTTTCGAGATAAACATTTTTAATTTAATTAAATAATCAAATCCTGAAATACATTTTTAAGAAAATTTTCACTATATGACGTCTATCAATATTAAAATACATAATAACATATATTTTAACTTGAAAATAATGTATACAGCGATACGTTTGTGATTAAAATTATTCAACTGCACGTATATTTAAATAAAAATATGAAGGAAATAAAAATGAAAACAATTTTATGATCTTAATCACTAAAAAATTTTTTTATTTTGTTTTTATAATACATATTTCAATTAATCGTTTTTAGTGCATATTTTTGTATCACAATTTTTGTTTCACCTTATTCCATAATTTTTTAGGAAAACTATTAATAATTTAAAGGTCTTAGGACTATTAAATTTACTCTGGTTAATAATTTTCATCGATTTATGAACCTTTGTATAGTTTAGTGATTATTGTTATTTGGCGTTCACGCTTCAGTTCTGCAATTTTAAGCGTGTTTTTGAGCTACAAACGACATAGGTACAATATATATAGTATAGTCTACAGAGTCAAAACATACTGACATTTCTAATGCAACGATAATTAGTTTGAACTTAAAACGTATGTCACGCGATCACGTGTCAACGTCGATTTCACGAAAAATTAAGCAATATTTGTAAAAGATAGGGAACTTTTTTTATATGTTTTTATTAAAAAAAAAAATCGAAAATCTGTTACATATAGTTAAAATAAGCATATGGCTGTACGTAATAAGTGCTTAGGGCGTGAGTTGAAGACGTTATCAATCAATAACGCTTCGGCGTATTTTATTTCAGTATATTATAAATTACAAAGAAAAATATATAATTATATAATACAGTTACAGTCGGAGCAAGTGTATGTTTTTTTGATATTTATTTGATGAGGTATTAAAAGTAAAAATTCCAAAGTTTTGACTTCAATCGATATAAAAAATTCATTGAAGAAGCTCCTGATATTCAATATTTAGTAAAAAGGTAGATGAGATAAAATTGTTTTGTACATATTGACTATTCATTCTCCGTTCATTTATTACGATGTATGTAATATTCATTAGTGAAATATATATTACACATGAAAAAAAAAACTTCTCTACTCAAAAACAAATTGTTCACGATCATTTAATATTAAAGAGGATTTATATGATATTTTTTAAGAAATACATGGATTTATGACCCACAAACATTTTTTTTTAGTTGCAAAAACGGTTAATGCATCAAGCAGGTTATTGGAAATAACAAAATTGAGAGTATGCCTAAAGAAATTGCAATATATTTAAATTTTCTGTATTCCTGAGCTGATACAGATCGTTTTTTTCGCTGAACTTCAGCAACATTACTGACTGCTGGTGATGTTACAACTAGTGACGGGAATAATAAAATGGAATAATCGAAATAATGGTTACAGATATACTTATTTACCAAAAGCAAATCAATTAAATTATTCGAAAAATTGCGTGTTTTACTAATTTCCCATTGGGTACTAAATACCCCTCCCCATATACGAGATTATGTTTTTGGTAGTCCGGGGGGTTTAATTTAGGTATAGTCTACGATTAATAAAAGCAATGTGTAAATCTATTTTCTTACTATTTGTTTTGTTTGATTGTACTGGAATTTTCAAATCATTGTCAAATCTCGATGTAACAACATTATAGCATAACATATTGAATAATTTAATTATTAATTGTCTACAGTATATTTACAGTACAGTAAGCTTGGCCTATAGTTAATGGTAGTTATTGAGATCCGTAATAGTAGTCTGATCTGGTGATTAGACTGATCAGACGTTATTCAACTGAATCGAACCAAAACCGTTGCGTGGAGAAATTTTACGATGATAAAACATATTTTGTTTTCGTAGCATTTAATATTGTCACAATATTGTGTTAGAGTGTTTCCATAACGGACAAGAGGTCTGCAATGGATGGCATATGGCTCTATGGTGTAAAAAAAAATGTAATAAAATAATTCATGATCATTTTAATAATACGACCGTCGGTACGTGTACAGTACGTATATTATTATATCATAGGATTTTGAAAACGAATTATAATTATTGACCTCCGCCCGACGACAGAAGCAGCTTCTCAAAAATATTGGTTGACCATCTGTACCCAATAATGTTATTATTATTAGTAATAATTACTAAGCACATAATTATTATGTGCTGAGCCTACTTATTATTATTATTTTATTCCTCGTATGTTAATGTTAAAAGTCAGTTGTTCCTCTTTTGACTTCTTAGGGTAGGATAAATGTAAAATATAGAAATTGATATTTAGGTATTTTTATAGGCAACATTTGAAAATCCTATGATGATAATCACAATATATTTTTTATTCCATCACTATATTTCACCAAATATACCGAAGTGTAACATCAGGTTGTAAATTTTCATTAAAAAAAAAAAACAAAATATAATCTAATATCAATGAACAAATACTATAATTATCTTTAGTAATGTTCCCTATTCACTACTTAACTTTGATTTTCTTCAATTTCTTTCAAACTTTTTTTCTAATATTTCTTATAACATGATTTTGTAAGTTTTACTAGTTATTCTATTAATTGTTTATTATAATTATTTTTTCAGGCTTGTTGTTGATCTCGTATCTGCAGAAGAACACCTGGTGTATTGGAATTCTCTTTCTACTATTAATTTTTGTTTATTTGAAAAATAAAAATAAATTTCTACCATAAAATAATGTATGATTTAGTAAAAAAAACTATTATTGAAATATGTACGTGATCATTGTTTTTTATATTATTGTGAATAAATGTCATATAATTGATATGATAAATTATTTATTTAACTGTCATGATTAACTACCCTAATTTTTAGTCATTAAATATTTGTTTTTAACCACTTTTAAATGAATATGTAGTAAGATCAAAAAGATCTTGGAATTTATTATTAGTAATTTTAGTTTTTGTCGTAATCGTAAATAATTTTTGAAAAGCAAACGACCGACTAAGACGACGGTTCTATACGCCTGTACGATACATACATATTTATAAATATATATACGTAGGCGATGTGTGCATTTAGAAATATTACATTGACCCTTATAATTGGCTATTCAGGGCGTGTGCCGAAATGTTTGACTTCTTTTTGAAATAAATCTTCACCGGTCTTCGGATTTTGTGAGTTCGGTTTTATCTCTCTCGGAAAACATTATTATTGAAATGGTAAAAAATCTGTTACAGTTGCGTTCTCGCCCAGTATTTCATCTTTATAGAACGGAAATCAAACATTAATATATTGTAGTTTTTCTTTCGATTTTCCTTTCAGAGTTTGGAGGAAAATGCTTTCAAAAAATTAAAAGTTACTAAAAATGTATGGTTCACTAGTTTTTAACTGAAAAACTGATTTCAATGATCATTATCGTAGTTGTTGTTGTTCAATACCTACTATGTCTCCAGGGTCGGATTGGAAGGATTTTGGTCCAATGTTATCTTTAAAAAATCAGCCCAAATACCTACACCTTTTACTTATATAAATACCCCATAAGTTAAGAACTCCAATTAAGTTTGTTTATTAGAAAAACAATTTCAAATATAACAGTGCGTATAGATTTTAAAATTTATATATTTATTAAATAAATAGATTATAAAATCAATAAAGATTCAATCAATCAATCAATCAAAATGTTCTACCCCTCTATGTGTATCCTGTAGGCACAAAACTTCAAATTTATGTTCCCTCACGATTTCCGATATTAGCTGTTTTTTCTCCGGTGTGAGTCCCTCGATTTTAAGGGACACCAGCGTCAAGCATGGCCCTGAAAAGGGCCGCTTTGGCTGACTATGGGTGATAAGATTGACCAGAGTTTGATTCATTATTAATCTTATTTATGTCCTTGGGCAGTTATAAGGTGTGGTGTATGAAAAAAAAACTCTTACCAGGGGCACCACATGGAGGTTCTTACCGTGCCCCCATTTTCTTATATAACTGCAGTTTACTGTGTTTTAGAAATATAATATAAGTATTAAAAAAAAAAAAAAATAATATATTTGTTTGTTTTTTATTTTTATATTATATCATAACTTAGTATCTTAAAAAAAAAATACAAATTAAAAACTGTTGGACATAGTTCATGTATTGAATTGAAGATTGTATGTATGTAAGTGCGTTGTAGTTTAATTGTATTCTTCTTTTAGATTACTATATTGAAAAAAGATTCTGATGGGATTGCAGATTGAATGTAGATATTAATAAGGAGTTTCATGATTAGATATTACGGCTTTATCATTTATGTAGTCAGGAACAAGGTGTTTTCTTTAGGGGATGATCTGAAATATATGCAGCGTGTTAATTAATTATAAAATGAGTTGTTTAACTCATAATCATGATAGGACATTTGAGTAAACTTTTTTTTTTTAAATAATATTTCAGAAATGACCTATATTTTATGATGATAAATAAAAAAACATTTCATTTTTTTTTTTTGATTTCAAGATGGTCATTTTGTAAAACTGCATAATGACAATAAAAATATTTCTTTTTTTCTGAAATTGAATTATATGACTTTAAAAAATAGTTAACTTGAAATTTTGAAAAAATGTGAATACTTTTAAATTTTTTTTAAGTCATCTGAAATATTAGGCCATTATTTAAATATTACCTTAAAAATACTCCATTCAAATAATTATACTAGATTATTAGTTGTGGCGACTGACTTTCTAATTAATTAACATATTGTATCTTATTATGGGAAACAGTATACCTTTTTGGAGTAATTATGCATTGATTAGAACCATTTCTGAGGTAAATGAACCGAAGGATCTGATGAAATGAAATAGTGAGAAGACAGAAAATTGTAATGGTCTATTCTGCTGAATGTTTGAGAAATATTAATGAATTAAATAAATGGTTGATAACATATTGCATTGTTTTAAATTATTTATTTTCCATTACCTAGGAAATTACGTTTGTTTGACCAATACTTTTAGAATTTAATTCGATATAGTATATTATATAGTATATTACTTTTTGATGAGTAGTGAACGTTTTCAAATTTCGTGAGAATTATCTTGAAGATATTTTTTTTCCCAAGTACAGTTCTCCAACATTGAAGCATCATGCCACCTATTAAACCCTTCAGACTAACAAAGCAAACCGGACTCAAAGGTAAATTGATGGTAGTTTGAATTTTTAGCTTAGTGTGACCTAAAATCATGTCAGTTATTCCGATTAGATTTTTGCGTTGAAATTCAAAAAACCTGTTTGTACTAAAAATTAAAAATATTTCATGATGTGTTTAATAGTTATTCACTTATTCGTTTTTATATTATTAATTGTTCATCACAATGGCGTAGCCAGGAACTTTTTATGGGGGGAGGGTTCAGCAAATTTATATATATTTAATCGGTTGCATCCAAAAATCGCACACATTTGATTTTAACCCCAAAAAGGTTGGTAGACAAAAACCACACACTTTATGGATTGCCAGGTAAGTATATCGTACAGCCAAATACTGCACACTTATAGTGGATAAAAACCTCACTATATAATGTATTAATAATAATGTATTTTGTATAGACGAATGTTGTATATTTAATAATAATAAACAGTTGTATTAGTTCCTTCGTTCTGTATAAACGAGCGTGTATAGTGTTATCGGTGTGTCGCATATCTTAATTAATAATTGCGTAATCCAATTATTTACTGTATAATGTTATGCAATGTATGTAACAATGATATTTACGAGGAAGATGTGTTGAAGTGTTCTACATGCAATGAATTTTTTAATTTTGGATGTGCGGTGTTAAGAGAAACGACTTTTCGGAAAATGTCAATGACGGCTAGACAAAAATAGGGCTGTGCAAAGTGCAAATTCTCAACTGATACTAAAACAAAATCACCTACTGTGAACGTTAAGAAGGGAAATGAAGCAAGTGTGTTAACAAATGAATCATTCATTAATTTAACGGATTATATATAATGAAGATACATTTAATTTAAAATAATGATATGTCAAATTATATTTATTGAAGTAATGAAAAGTTATTCTTGCGTGGGTCAACTGAAAAACGTAACGATGAAAAAATGCCACACACGTTTACTGGAGTATAAGTAAGTATAATTATATATAAGTTGAGTACACCTACGTGCATGAATATTTATGAATACGAATCAAAAGGCAAAAAAAAATATTTTACTTCGTAATAATAAGCGCACTTTAAAAATAACACATACTATGTTGTTAACAATCGTATCAACTGTGATGCACTTATTTGATTCGTATACCAGAGCGAAGAGGGTTGTTTTATATTTGTTTTTTGGGGGTGTGAAATAGAAAACGATTAAAAGTCAAATATTTTCTGAAAGAATTAAGGAAAAATGTTTTAAAAAAGTCCGGTTAGCTCTGTAGGTTTCGATCTTTATTGTTTTTAGTTTAGTGTTTACGTGTGAATTTAATGATAAAATTATGAAAATAACACAAGGGCATTTAAATAAAAAATTTCATATGAAGCATTTTCAAAGTTTAAAATTAGCACTGTAATAATAATTTATAAGTATAAATTTTATACTTAAAAAAATTAGTAAAATTAAAGGTTAAAAAAAATATCATAACATCAAATTTTAATTGGTTAAAAAGTGTTTTTTCTAAGTTTGCTAGGGACGCTAGCTAGTCTTCGTATGCGACTAGGTATTTCGCTGGTTAAAATACATTGATAATCGTAATCCTTTTAAAACTTAAAAGCCTTCAATATAATTTTTTAAAAAAAGTTATTCAACACCATGGTATACTCACATATAGGACAGTGCCACCGAGTGGGTACTTCAGTTGGCAATCGCCGAATTCCGTCCCGGGTTGCTGAAAATGACCGAATTCCGTCCCGGAGGCGGAGCAACTATGTTCGAATTCCGTCCCGGGGGTGGATAAACTATGTCCGAATTCCGTCCCGACTAGTCTTGGATATAATAATAAATAATTTAAATACTAATTACACATAACATATATTATACTTATACTCTTAAATTTATTAAAATACTTATATGACTCTCATATTTATACATAAATGGCATATACTGTAAGTGGAGTTTTTTTTGCTCCGTATGTCAATAATAAATAAATAAGGCTGTTTTGCCGGATTTTACATTTTTAAACATGCCAGCAAAGCTGCCAGTCCTAAGCCTGGAGAAAATGTGAAGGAAAATATTACTGCCAAATATATCATAGTTACAGGAGGTAGTAGGACGGAATTCAGACATAGTTGCTCCGCCTCCGGGACGGAATTCGGTCTTCAGTTATGGAACCATAGGGGGCCCGGGACGGAATTCGGTACCAGCCCTTCAGTTGGTCCAAATGAACCACCAAAATTAAGTGGATGTGGGTGTTTGCTGTCCCCGGATGGTAGATAACGGTATAATTTAATATGCCCAATTGTAATTAGTATAAAACTATTTTACAAGACGTTCTTCTTCTTCTTCTTTTGGCCATTTTACTCTCTAAGAGTTTTAGCCGTCACTACAATATCCCGCCACTTTTCTCTGTCTTGAGCGATTACACGCCAGTCTTCTATGCCCATTTCCTTCAGGTCTTCCGCTACTCCATCAATCCACCTCTTCCTGGGACGTCCCCTCGGTCGTTTTCCCTTAGGTTTCCACTCGAAAGCAACGCGTACAGGGTCGTTTTCTTCCCTTCTTAGGATATGTCAACATATTAGGATATTTTACAAGAC